CCGTGTGTGCGCCCCGCGTGCCTCTTGTTTGTGGGGGGGGGGGGGGAGGCGGCAGCACATTAGCCAGCTCATCATGGCTCACAGCCCCAGAGAAGAGGGGGCACAGTGGTTTCCACCACCCTAGGTAGTGCTGCCAACCCTAACCCTGCCAGTGCAAAGGGACAGCTTTGTCTGCTTTCCTGGCACCCTGCCCAACTCCTGGGCTCTGCTCTCTCCAGCACCCAAGAGCACGCTGGAGTCCAAGACTCTTCATGGTCTTGGAGAACATTAACCAAGTTGCACCTAGTTTGTTGTGTATCCTCCTATGCCTGCATCCTCAACAATGGGCAGCAGCACCCCAGCCTCTGGCTCTCCCTCCGTCCTCTACTGCTGTACACACCGTGACCATCTCCTCCCCAGCTGCCATGCATGGGTCAGTGACAAAGTGTCTGTGCATTCTGCTCCCTCAGGATGGGCTGTACAGCCCTCCTCTGCCATCTCCTCCTGTCCTGTACTGTGCCTGGCCTGCATCCTTGTGCCCAGCCCTTGTAGCACCTGGAGCAGCAGGAGAACTGGGCTTTCTTGCCAGGCCTCCATGCACTACTGTGCTTGCCTCACTGTGGGACCAACTCTGCTATCCTTGTACTGTGTCACTGCTGGAAATAAAGGGCTGAACTCTGCAATCACTCACCAGCATCTGGGCTCTGCTTCCCAGTGGGCCAGGGCAGGGATTAGGATGTGTGGGCAAGGTGAAGGTGGGAATCCATCCCCACACTCAGCATTGCCCCAGGGACAGCTCCTCACACCCAGTACCACCCATGGGAGCATAACCCAGGGACATGGGTGATGGTGGAGCTGGTGCAGCCCCTGCGTTGTGGGGGGGGGGGAGATGGCCGGAGGCAGCTGGACCATTCCCCAGAGCACTGTCCCCAACAAGAAGGGCATCAGGAGGTGGCTGCAGCAAGGGACCATCAAGCTGGTGGAGGTGGCTGCAGCAAGGGACCATCAAGCTGGTGGGTCACCTCTGGCTCAGGAAGGTGCCTGCTGTCCCCTGTGGGGCTGGCCATGCCCTTGTCCAGCTCTCCAGGCTGGTCATGTCTCCCAGCTGCCTGGGAAGGGAGCTGCCTTCCCCATCTGCCCCAGTGAGCTCTGGGACATGCTCACCTGTGCTGTGGACACAGTTTGGGGAGGGGGGAGGGGGGGGGTG